CCCCAAAACCCCAAAACCCCAAAACCCCGTTACGCAAAGATTTGATGAAATTTGGGTAACTAAAATTTTTATCAAAATAGTTTATTATTTTATTATCAAATAGACTTTATCAACCTAATCTCTCAATATCTTTATTTAATAATCTCATTATAAACTTAAATGGTTGAAGGTATATTTTCCCAATCCCTCTCAGTGATCATTTTTCGCTTTATCATTAAATAAAATAATCCTTAAGTTCTAAGCAGAATTCATCAATTAATTCTTTATTAACATGATGTAGAATTACTGATTACAATTATGTCTCATTTATTCTCTAAAGTGAATATTTTTTAATTATTTTTTCTGGAATATTAGCCTGAGGGAACAAAACATGCAATTTTCTTCTCTCAATCTGATCTTTCGAATATAGTTGCTCTAATTTCAAGCAGAGATAATCAGCAAGACTCATATCGTATTCAATAAGATTTCTTAGTATCTCTAGATTTTTATGGATTTTTAATGTTTTTAATAAGTTTAGGGCACAAGTAGGAGCTAAGCCTGATCTCGTCCCTGATAAAGCAACTTTATCTTACATCGAAACATACTCAATAAAATTATCATCTTGAAATGCTCTATCTGTGAAATCTTTGTATGTTAATGCTGCTGCAGATGGTATTTGACTTCCTAGAAATTTGCTCAAAGAGACAGAGATAGTATCTAAACCATTGTGCCTTAAACTATTTTTCCCAAATTCTTTCAAAAACGGTAAAGTAAACCCATAGAGTAATGAATCCCCATGATACACAAATTTCCAATTCTTGCATTGATTATCATCATTAGTTATAAGCTCTCTATGATTATAATCTTGAATATCTACTTCAAGAGAGCATTAATTTTATATGACTTCTTCGATTACACTTCTTATATTGAATAAATCGTCAAATGAGCCTCCTATTTAAGTACCAAGGTTAATACTCACGATAAAGTTAATAGCTTGTTTTGAGGGAAATTCACTTAATATTCTTCTTAAAGATTAAGTATCCATCTATCCATCCTTGTTAACTTCAACAAAGCAAGTTTTAAGACCTAAGGCAGAAGCTGCTTTGATTATTGAAATATCAGTCGAAGGGGGTCTTGAGCATATTAATACTGGCTGTAAAATCATTTTGAGTTACTTCTTGAACTAATAAATTTTGGAGAAGATAGAATTTCTCATGCTTTTATCTTCATCTTTATTAAACATTTAAGATTCCTTTTTAGCTTCCTCTACCATTTGTTTCAGCTCATTAATTCTATTTCTAGATTGCATTAGCAGATTTAGCTTGCACCACCATAAGCATGAAAAGTTTGCTTCGCATTCACTAGAAGTCACATAACCTGACATATCCTCAAATCCCAGCAATTTACCCAAGATCTCTATGACTTCTCTCTCTACTGGGTTTCTCCATGGAACCTTTGGATCAAACGGATCGCCGTAAGAGAAATTAAAGATGTCACTCAAGCTTTAAGGACTTATCCCAAGTTCAAGACTATAAGATCTCTATGACTTCTCTCTCTACTGGGTTTCTTGTACCATCATCATTAGTGGAATAAAAGGTGGTATCTATTTAATCTAGATTAGAATGCTTATTGTAAAGCATTGTCATAATGGACTAGCAATAACTAAGCATGTGTTCATGGAAGTCCATTAACCAAGTTTTTCTATATTCTATCTCGTTGGTATTCATTATTGATTTAAGAAATAGTAGTAGTTTATTAAATATTTCCTTGTTTATATTTAATAAGTATAAGAACAGTAAACTTTTCTGAGCAATAAAATATACTAAAATACGTATATTATTGACATTATTAACTTCTCATCAAAATTTTTTACTTCAACTTCATGGGGTTTTGGGGTTTTGGGGTTTTGGGG